TAATACCAATTGCGTATATAACAAGGGCGCCTTGTTTTTTTTTTTAAATCAATATGTTACATTAGTTCTTTGTAAATGCGACATAACAATATGCTCAGTGTTTGAGATTCGATTCCCAACTCCTGCAGTTTTATGTTTTATATGGAACCAAAAATGTGCCTTTAATTTTTATAGATTTTACATCGGATATGTTACCTCGGTTTTATGAAAACTGAGATAAATAATCTCTAATTTTTTATTCTTTTTGAAATTAAAAATGCGCCTTTATTTTTTAACGTTTTACGTTGGATATGTTACCTCGGTACTCTTTATATTTTTTATTCACTCAATGTCTACCTCATTCACTTCTCGAACCCTAGCGAAAGAACATTTCTTCTCCAGATAATGAAAGAACACTTATTCTTCAAGGAGCCCTAGCAAACAAAAAAACTCTCTCACCAGTATTCTCTGATATGTTATTATTGTTGTTGTTCTCATTGTTGCTTTGGTCCATTACCATTGTTCTTGTTATTCTCCATTACTGTTATTCTTATTATTGAAGGTGAGAAAAATACACAAGAATGAGGGTTGAATTGTGTTCTCCAATTTGCGTTGCTTCTGAACAAAGTTCATATTCTGATAATATAGATGCAGTAGAATAATAATCAGTAGCAAGTAATAGAAAAATGAACAAACAAAGATTTATCTTGGTTCCTCCTAAACTGAGAGTAGTCTAGTCTCCTTGCAGCACAAGAGATTTTTTACTATAATCAAATCATGATCACAATTGTCTATACCTTCGAGCATAAGACTTTTCTTTGCTCAGACCAACAGCCTAAGACTTTTCTGCTCAATCAACACCTGAACAAGACTTCCTGCTTAGATCCTCAAATCCTAAGATTTTCCTGCTTATACCCTCAAGTACAAGAATTTCCTGCTCAGACTGACTTTCCTGCTTAGATTCCACGAATCCAAGACTGTCCTACTTAAATCCCACAGATTCAAGACTTCCTGCTCATACCCTCGAGTACAAGACTTTCCTACTCAGATTCCACAAATCCAAGACTTTCTTGCTTAAATCCCACAGATTCAAGACTTTCTGCTCATACCCTCAAGTACAAGACCTTCTTGCTTAGACCTACAGTCCAAGACTTCCTTGCTTAATCAACAATTTGATCAAGACTTCAATGCTCAAGCTCATAGCAGGAGACTTACATGACTCAAGCTTACTGCAAGAGAATTTGATGCTCAATCCCATAGCAAGAGACTTTATTTCTAAACTACTAAACAACATGTTTAGCAAAATAAACAACAAGGTGCACTTGATATACAATAAGAGGTACGAGGCAATAACTATATCAAAGATCATAGCACATAATATTTCTAAGATATTCAATATTTAATAAATCTTAAGGCTTTGTACAAATTACAACAGATAACAGAAACTCTGCATACTGGATGTTATTTTTGATATTGTTATTCTTCCATGTTGATAGAAGTGTGAGACGTTTCTTTTCTTCTTGGCCCTCTTTCTTTTTTCCTTATTGTTTATCCAGATTGAATCTTTAGCTACTTAAATAGAAGATACAAAATAATAGTCGTTGGAAGAGATAACTTGCACAAGTGTCTTTGTTAGTCCATAGTACTAAGAGACGTTGAAGATAGATACACAAAAAGATCTTTATCCAATGTATAACTCTTTTAACCATAGTGTCCTCCTTGTGAGTTGTACTATAGATCTGTTGAGAGTGAATATCTATAAATCATGTCAACTCTTCTTGAACCATAGATGATAAACTGATATGACAATGTATCTTGCTTTATGCAGTACGGATCACTTAGCTTTGTCTATGATTCTAAATGATCATCACAAGATGATACATTCAATAAGTGTAGAGATAATATATTGCTCTTTTGATGTTGATACATTCAACTTCAGATTCTACGCAAACCTATATCATCAGACTTCACTTAAGAGCGTCCTTCAGTTCTGAACCATCAGAAGTCAAGAACTCAAATTCTCTCAAATGCGTTCTCTTAATAGATTCTGGGTAGATTCTCTTTAAGCTTTGGAACCTGCATACTTAGAACACACATTAGATAATACCATAGTTCTTTCAATACTTTGTTATCATCAAAATCTAAAAGGTATATGTCACGAACAAATCATGTTCTAACAATCTCCCCATTTTTGATGATGACAAACATAAGTATTTAAGAACAATATTGGACTATTTTAATTTACTTGACAACATTGGAGTTTGAGGTTTGTAAGTTCCCCCTAAATATAATAGTCTAAAGATTGAGGTTTGTAAGCTCCTCCTAAGTTCTATATTCAAGAAAAATAAAATATGTCTCCCGGGTAAGCAAATAACAGTAATAATGGAATCTTAAAATAAACAACATATAAAATCTGAAGGGTTCAGATTCTTTTAAATATTTCTATATCTTTCTCTCCCTTTTGTCACATCAAAAAGATTAAAATAAAATTTTAAAACAAAGAGAATAAAAAATATTTCATAAATGCAAAACAAATCATCATTACTTGAGCAGTTCCCAATAGAAGAGAAACAATTCAAGTAACAGAGAGCATTAAAAGTGTGTATTGTGCATCTTTAATAGTTATTGTTCGTAGAACTTCCAAAGATCAAGAAGAGGGATTTAATCCAACTATTTGGTCTGCCCAAACTCCACTATAAAAGCAACCAAATCCTAAGTCTTTTTCATCAACATCTTTTAGAACACTATCAAATCCACAATTGAAAGTACCAACATCTCTACAATAACATATCAAGTACATACTTAACACCAACCAACAACTTTATTGACTCATCAAGGAGCTTGAATCTCACATATTCAATTCCTAAAATTTTGCAGATTTTGTTGTTTCCCACCAGTACTGATCCACCATCTTGATCACATAGTTCCTCAAACACATCTTTATTTGGAGCCATGTGTCAAGTGCAACTTGAATCCATGATCATTTCCTTGCAAGAACTGCTTCTTGAAACTACCATGACATTAGACGATTCAAAATAAACTTGAACAATGGTTGTGTTGCCATTATTCTTACCTCCATAATTATTCAAGCATTCAGAGCACGTCTTTCTTGCGCGACCCTCATTATTACAGTGGTAATACCTAATTCCAGGGGCATCACCACCATAAGAGTTTTGCTGAGCTTTACCCTTCTTCTTCTCAAAACTGTCATATTTCTTTAAGAATTTCCCTTTAACAGACAAACCTTCACCAACAGACGATGGCTTGTGCTCCTTTCTTCCGTTTAAATCCTTAGAGTACAAGGTTAATTGAACTTCTTCAAAGGTTAGGGAATATCTTCCATACAAGAGAGTTTCTTTGAAATGAGCACGAGACTTAGTAAAGAACACAACAATAACAACGTTTGATTTTCATCATTGATACTAACATCGATATTCTTCAGATCAAGAATCAACTTGTTGACGTATCCAACTGTTTCATCAAGACTCCATCTTCACTCATCCATCTTCACTCTTCTTGAATGAATATAGAGTCTGCTTCAAGTACATACGATTTACCATGGATTTAGTCATGTACAACCCTTCGAGTTTGCTCCACACACTTGTTGTTGTATTCTCCTTCGAAACCTGCCGAAGAACCTTACCACCAAGGCTCAATATAATGGCCATGTAGACTTTCTTGATCATCGTCGTTTCTCCTTCTTTGTTAGGGTAACATCCATCTTCTCTGATCCTTTCAATACTTCTAACAAACCCTGCTGAAATAGTAGGACTTTCATCTTTAAGCACCACAAACCAAAATCATCCACACTGGTGAATTTCTCAATCTCATACTTCGTTGACGGCATCTTGACCCACGCTTATCACACCAGTTTGTTGTGATAAACGCCGCACCAAAAACGAATAAAACTATGAGAAAGATTGAGTCTGTTGAACAAACACAAAAAAATCGTTTTAGGTTTACAAAAGAGAGAAAAAAGGGAAGAAAAATAATAAAAGTTGGTTAAAGCCGTTTTTTCCTATTCACTTTTTCAATTATGACAAAAGGTAACAAGTGAATAATAACAACCAACTCTTAAGTCTCCTCTCAACAATCAGAAAGAATAACCTATTTATAAACTACAAGTTAACTTAAGTATTAAACTAACTTATACAACATGTGTAACTCTTTATTTATTGAAACTAGAGTTTGACTTAAAATACCACTAAGTCAAGCGGCTATTTTCCCATTAGTTATTAACTACTCACATAGCTATAAAATAAATAATAATGTAACTTCCCGAGGCTTATAACTATTGATTTGAATTAGACGAGACATAACAAAATGTTATTAACAAAACACATTATTGGTAGTATTTAAACATTTGAAAATGTTGGACATGATTTAATTTGGTGTCCACATATATTAAAACCAAGGGACTGTTGTAACCCAATGCAGCAACAGTTTCACATTAGAAATGTACCCCTTTATCTTTATAGGATGGCGATGTCGTTGGTTTTACCTTTATACATCCACCTTTATATTTATATACACCCAAGTCCCAACTAAACTAACAACTAACTCGGTGGACATTGATGAGGGCGGTCTTATAAGGCTACTCTTTCAAGCCTACTCAACCAAAGAAGAAGAAGAAACAATGCAGCTTAACTTAATTTCAACAGCACCATCCAGCTTCTCTACTCTTCATTAATTGCCCCGCTTTTCGTTCCACCGTTTTTTCTTTTCTATAAAGCATCACTTTTCTCACTCACAACTGCTCAAAATAAGCTCTTATATCTATTTCTTCACCCTCTATCACAATTCACAACCAAACTCTTCAACACTCTTCTCACATTTTTCACATTCAATTCAACCATCAAAAACCATACGTGCATTCAAACTTTAACGTTCATTTTTCTTTTAATTTTTGTTGCTAATTGTTCATTCATCCCATTCATCCCTCCGACCAACGTGCTTGGCCGGGAAATTTTTCAGTTGTAACAAATAAAGCTGTGTTTTGGGTTATTGGGTCCCACGAGCACATGGATGAATCAACAGCTTTAATGATCTTAACGGCAATAGCGGCCTACATGATATGGTTCTTGTTCATCATACGTTCATTAAAAGGTCCACGTGTCTGGCCCTTAGTGGGTAGTCTACCTGGTCTCATCCACCATGCCAACCGCATGCACGACTGGATCGCTGAAAATCTCCGCGCGTGTGGCGGCACGTACCAAACCTGCATCTGCGCCGTTCCCTTTCTCGCTAGAAAACAGTGTCTCGTCACGGTCACGTGCGATCCCAAGAATCTCGAGCACATACTCAAACTCCGTTTCGATAATTACCCCAAAGGTCCTACGTGGCAGTCAGTGTTTCATGACTTGCTTGGAGAAGGCATCTTCAACACAGATGGTGACACGTGGCTGTTCCAGCGTAAGACTGCCGCACTGGAATTCACCACTCGTACCCTACGACAAGCCATGGCTCGTTGGGTTAGCCGAGCTATAAAGTCTAGATTCTGTCCCATTTTAGCCACGTCTCAGGAAGAAGAACTTCCGGTGGATCTTCAAGACCTTCTCCTTCGGCTCACTTTCGACAACATATGCGGCTTGGCTTTCGGTCAAGACCCTCAGACACTGGCTGTCGGACTTCCAGAAAACCGCTTCGCGCTTTCCTTCGATCTTGCCACGGAAGCCACACTCCAACGGTTTATTTTACCTGAAATCGTTTGGAAGCTGAAGAAATGGCTTCGGCTAGGAATGGAAGTGAGACTGACAAAAAGCCTAAAACACATCGATCAATATCTCTCCAAAATCATTCAAAACCGGAAACTGGAACTACAGAGTGGAAGTGAGGCTCTAAACGACGATCTTCTCTCGCGTTTCATGAAGAAAAAAGAGTCTTATTCTGAAGAGTTTCTTCAACACGTGGCTCTTAATTTCATCCTCGCTGGACGTGACACGTCATCGGTTGCTCTTAGTTGGTTCTTCTGGCTCTGTATTAAAAACCCACATGTGGAGGAAAAAATTCTGATCGAACTTTGCACGGTTCTGATGGAGACACGTGGCGAAGATCTCTCCAAATGGACGGATGAGCCTCTCGCTTTTGATGAAGTTGATCGTTTGGTTTACCTCAAAGCTGCGTTGTCTGAAACTTTACGTCTTTACCCTTCTGTGCCGGAGGATTCAAAGCATGTGGTGAACGACGACGTTTTGCCGAACGGAACCTTCGTTCCGGCGGGTTCGATGATAACGTACTCGATTTACTCCGTTGGGAGAATGAAGTTCATTTGGGGAGAGGATTGTCTTGAGTTTAAACCTGAACGGTGGCTTTCAACCGACGGTGAATATATGCAGGCGTCTTACAAGTTTGTTTCATTCAATGCGGGGCCCAGGGTTTGTTTAGGGAAGGATTTGGCTTATCTGCAGATGAAGTCCATTGCCGCCGCGGTGCTGCTGCGCCACCGTCTGACGGTGGTACCAGGACATCATGTGGAGCAAAAGATGTCGTTGACGCTGTTCATGAAGTATGGACTGATGGTGAATGTGCACCCAAGGGATCTCGCGCCAGTGGTGGAGAAGATAACCGCCAATTAAGGGTTTAGTCATTGAACTGCAATACTGAATTTCAAAAAGAAAAAGAGCCGTAGTGAGTATATTCGTAAGTCAAAGATAACATCATCTGTTTTAAATAAATTATATATAATATTGATGTTGAAATAATATATAATTTGTTTTTGTTGTTAAAAATATACTACTAGTTATTTACTTGTTATAAAGTTATAATGTAACTTTTTTGTTGTTGGATAATGATGGAGTGAGATTTTTTTTCGTTACAATTGCTTGAATTACAAGAAACAAACAAAAATATACTACTAGTTGTTTTTGTTACCATTCGTCCCTGATAATTGTTGTGTAAACCTTCAATTCTTCCCCCACCAAATGTAATAATTCGGGAAAAGATAATTTATAATTAATTCTTGATTACAAACTATTTCAATTAGATCTATATGGATGGTGGTATACGGTTGATGCAAATGTCATTCAACATCAATCAAAATAACTTTGATTCTCATGTGTGTATCTTGAATTGCAACAAAAGTGACCTTATGGAAAAGATGTTCTTTTGTGATCTATAGTGCACTTCTAAACAGAGAGATGTTGATGTGTGTTTTGTATGTGCAAGTATACATAATTAAAGTGGTAACAAATGTTAAAAATAAGAGATTTAATTCGTTTACTTATAAAAAGGTGAGGAGAAAATATAGAGTGGGGAACGTGTTCGAAAAAACAAAGCAAAACATAGAGAAAAAGATAAACACAATCACAATACAAGAACATCACGTAAAAACTTTAAAATCGGAGAAAAACTCATGACTTTTGTCAAATGACAACCACAGAATAACTCATACCCTCCAAAACAAATATTTAATTGTATCTCACAACACTCTAATACAAGAGTATATGAGAACAAAGAAAGTCAAATACAAGTTTAAAGTGTTTTTAACTGGTGTATCTCGAAATGAAGAACTTGAATCTTATATATAACTTTGGACTCCCTCTTTCATCACAAAACTAAGATGTTTGACTTCAAAGAATTTGTATCATATATATAACATTAAACTCTCTCTTCATTCACAAAACTAAGCGATGTAAGATTTCTTCAACATGTATATTTTCAACAAATCCCAACAATCTACACATTGATTAAAAATAATACATAAACTTTTATTGTATTCACTGACAATTATACTCCACCATAAATAGTATAGTCACTTGAAGCTACAACACTCCAAGAATTTTCACATTGTCTTCACCGACAATCATAGTTTTAAAAACTATCATACTCTCTCATGAATAATGTATTTCACTTGAAGATAAACCACTTCAAGAATTTCACATTTTCATTCCCGAAAATCATATATTTTATCATGAAAAATAACTTTCACTTGAAGCTAAACCACTTCAAGAAGTTCACATGTCAAAAACCAGGTTGGAACATTATGGTGCAACTTCCATGTTGGCGAAAATCTCTTCAACCACCGACATAATCTTGCATCTTGCATAATCTTAATTGTACCAACACATATTTAGCTTGAACTTTACACAAGTAAAAAATATTCTTCTATCAATTTTCTCTAGCCTAAACTGCACAGCGGAATTTTGGACTCTTTCAAAATGCAAGACAAAACTTTTTCAAAACTCTTTCAAAACACTATCTTTTTTTTATGTGAAAGATCAGACAAAACTGCAACCACAGAGCATACTAAGAATATTTATCCCTGAATCGAACCAAAAGCTCAATTATCAGTTGTTGGGAAAAAATAAACAAAGCATAGAGGAAAAAGATAAACACAATCACAACACAAGAATATAACGTAGAAACTCCAAAACTGGAAAATAAACCACGACTATTGTCAAATGACAACCATAGAATAACACTATGTAAAAATTATTACAACACATAATATACCCTCAACTAACTTAGGCCCCCACACCCTCCAAAATACATCTCACAACACTGTAATACAAAAGTATAAGAGAACAAAGAAAGTCAAATACAAGCTTAAAGTGCTTTTGACTGGTGCATCTTGGAATGAATAACTTAAATCTTATATATAGATTTAGGCTCCCTCTTCCTTTACAAAACTAAGTGATGTGGGACTTCAACGAACTTGTATTCTATATATAGCCTTGAAACCTCTTTTTATTCACAAAACTAAGCAATGTGGGACTTCTTCAACAAGTATATTTTCAATCAACCTCAACAATCTCCACCTTAATTAAAAATAATACATAAGTTTTCATTGTCTTTATCGACAATCATACTCCACCATAATGGGTATCAACATGTATATTTTCAACCAACTCCAACAAAAGGTTCGTGAAAGAATTGGAAAAGTGAGAGTTAGAACAAGAGGCAAGGGTAGGAAAAAGAAGAAGGCCACCATTGTAGAAGAGCTTGGAGCTTAAAATTCTAAGGTAAGGGAGGAACTACTCCTATAAGGGTGTCTAATCATTAGAGGGTAGTGAGGGGTCCTTACCTTCTTAAGTTGGTCTTATGCCATGTTATGATTGTTATTGATTGTTGCACCCTAATTTTTGACCTTAAGATCCCACCTCCTTGCATTTTTGTGTTTCTCGTTGTTTTACTTTGTATGTACGTGTGTTATGACTAACAAGGGTGCGTAGGTACATTGACTTCAGGTATAAGCGACGTTATTTATCGAGGTCATGCATCACAGGATCAATTCAAGGAAGGCTTTATTCTTATCCAGGAGGATTGAACCATTATCATTTTGGTTCTCTTAGCTTTTAAGGGAGGAAGTTATTTTATTACTGGCAGCTCGTAGGCAACATGAGATTTTGGGCATCTTGACTCTTGGATTGAAGTAAATTTTGATCTGATGCATTGTTGTACAACTCCAAGTTTGACGTGTTCATTCAGGTTACAACACTAGCCCACTCTCAAATTCAACAATGCAAGGCTCCACCATTTTCAAGTTTATACATTGTAGCACAAGGTTGGTTCAACCCGAGGCCCCACGTCTTGGATTTACGGAATGCATTTGATATGATAGTGACTGAATCCAAGATTTTACAAGTTCATGATACAAGGATTCATTATACAAAACAAGTTTGTTACTGATTAAAGGGGGTACATAAATCAAGCATATAATTTACGGGGGATTATAACTTAGTCTATGAGTTAGGTTTCTTCTAAACACAAGATGCCGTGCATAGAAGTCAAAGCATCCAACCGAGTGACTCACGAGACTTTACATCGCTGCTACTGTGAGAACAAAATGTTCCCATATATTTTAAATTAATACAAATCATTACAAAGCATTGCAAACAAGACATGGTGCTAAAATACTAGAAATTGTTACAACTTGACTGCAACCATTTTGGACCTCTATGCCAGGACAAGTACAGCTTCTTGATCGAAACGACACCTCGGTATAAAAGTTGTTATGATTCAACCAGCTCTGAGTTGTTTTCACTCCTTCGACTTGTTCGTAGCATCCACCTTTTCGTAAAATAAAGCAGTAACGGTACTTTGTCTTTGACGACCTACAAATGAGAAAGACAATTATCAATATTCAGGACGGAACCGAAGCTCCAATCAAAGGATTGATCATGATTCTTCTCGCTCTACCGGAAGGACCGATGAAGATGTCATCTAGCCAAAGCAAAGCGGTTAATACTTACACCAATCCTCAGCTTTCACACCTGCAAGGCACATGGTTTGGTGAGAATTTTCACAACAGCAAGTCATAACTCTGGATCCATCAAATCCTTAAATTAATCACGCCAGCAGGTTCAAGCGGAACTTCTTGAATTTTACGGTATCAGGATTTGTGGACAACTTTATTCTAAGCATTATTTTAACGTAAAGAAAGTCAAGATCATCACCTCTCAATCACGTGAAGGAAACCATTTGTCGTTCAAATGTACACTTATTGTTCCCAGCCTACATCAAACCACCGGTTTAGCAATATAGCTATTATTTCCTTCATTTCCGATAAGATTTAAATTAACATATACGGAAACCATGTTGTCCTCCTTCATACTCAACAAGAGCAACAACCTGCAAGGATCATCGTCAGAAGGCAATCTTTTTTTTCTATTCGAGTACGGAATTGAAACGTGTGTCTGAACCAAAGCGGTAATGCGCATACCTTCAACTGGCAGATGAACAGAAGTAGAACCTGTCATTGGGATCCGAAATATTCCATCAACAGTAGACCCTGCCCAATCCTCTAACCAATTCGAAGGATGATCTAGTTTCTCGTTCACCCGCTATTACTAAAGAGAAATCCCTTCATTTGCAAATTCAATTCATTGTAGTGAATCAGTAAGCTAGACGTGAACGTAACTATAAGAGTAGGCTCGGCAGAACACTCACAGGAACCGTACTTGGCCAAGACCAATTGGAAACTCCCCAGATCCGCCACCATGTTATACCTCATCATCGCATTCCTTGTGGTTTGACTCACAAAGAGAAGATCAAATGAGGAAAGGCATCAAAGCAACACTTGATGATTATGCTACAAATTGGTCTAATGATAAATCACATATGCAACTCGCCCGGAGCACCTGCGTAGAGCAATAGTAATCACGAACTATTGAAAACAGTTTCAGATTTATTTGGTTCATGAGCTTTTCCTTGTGTATGAAAATAAGAACATCATTCAAATTACCTTGTCCAGAAACGGAGCCCTCGTCTTCGCATCTTCGGAAGTGTTAGTCTTCCACTCGCAATGTTCACATCAACGAAGAATATCAATTCCTATGTTAATTGGTTGACGTGCTCGTACCTACACGTTATCAAAAGACAGTATTGGCAAGTTCAGTGAAATACAATTTCGGCACACCACTGCTGCAGGCACAAAACGAAAAATTTATCAGTACCACTTCAAATTAATTTCCACAATCCCAAAGGAAATAAAGCTATGAGGCAAGGGAGTGACTTGCTATTACAAGAAAACTATGCCAAAATCTAAATAAACAACTGCACTTGAGGTGCAAATAAGGCTACTTATTACCTTCGTGCTTGTGAGCCTCTCATTAGCATACCGCGACCTTCGTATAAC